TTTGTTCATGGTTAGGAAACATAACCATCTTTGATTAACGAGCTAGTCAAGTAGAGGCATTCTAGTGACACTCTGTTTGTCTATGTATTCACACATGTATTATGTTTCTGGTTAATACAATTCTAGCATGAATAATAAACATTTATCATGATATAAGGAAATAAATAATAACTTTATTATTGCCTCTAGGGCATATTTCCTTCATGTTTGACCCCCGTGTGCACGGGCCCCCGTGCCCACGGTCCTGTAGCGTGCGCACGGGACCCCCGTGCCCACGGGGTCTAAACCCCCGTGCGCACGGGCTATCCAGAAACTATTGCCTAGAATTTTGTCTATCTCCTTGCCATTTATCTTGCACTCGTACTCATTTGTGCCTCGTGCTTTGTGTTGTTGGGTTTTTGTGTGTGTCTCAGACTCCGCTGACAAGAGGTCCGAGCTTCGTCGCAAGCGTGGAAAAGGAGGATCAAAGGACTTCACCATTGCTCATCGTCAGCCGTCTGAAGGCATGGGTCAGGGGTCTGGGACAGGTCAGGGCCGTGCTCGCCATGCAGCCTCAAAGCGGCCCATTGTTGAGGCTTCTGATGAATCTGAGGAAGAATATGACTCACAAGATGATGAGATGGAAGAAGAAGAGGATCGTGGTGAGGAAGATGAAGAAGATGATCGTGATGAGGAAGATGAAGAAGAGGAAGAGGAGTCTAGTCCGGAGGAAGCCACTCCGGGGAGGCGTGACCTCCGGAATATGCCTCTTGTCAAGTGGACCAAGCTAGAGATCTGGGCTGAGAGACATAACCATCTGTATGTTAAGGCCACGAGTATGGGAATGGATCCCCGTTTCAAGAATGGGTTTCAGCAAAGAATCTATCATGAGCTTCTTATGAGCAAGTGAAAGAAGTTTGCTCCTCACAAGCAAGTCAACACTGAGAGTTTCCGCGACAATGATCATTTGTATCCCGGTGTGTACTCCGCTCTTGGACGACTGGGTCTGATTCCGTTTGTCACTTCAACCACCCCTACAATGAAGATCTAGTGATGCAGTTCTTTGCCACTCTGTACTTCTCCAATGATTCTGCTCGCACCCTCACATGGATGTCCGGAACGTATCAGTGCTCAGCTCCTATGGCAAAGTTCTCCGAGATCATTCCCTACCCATTCATGGATGAAGAGACTGTTTCTGATGAGTTTGGCATTGTTCGGGAAAGTGGGCAGCGCACTAAGGATGAGATTACTTTTGCTTACAAACAAGAGAAGTCATTTGTCACTGGGTCAATCAAAGACCTCTTGCCCCTCTATGACACCATGCGCCATATCCTGCGGTATACCCTCACTCCAAAGGCCGGGGATTCCGATAACATTCGGAGCTCCATGCTTGATGTCTTTGTGTATCTTCATCAGAAGAAGAAAGTGGATGTTCTGGATTTCATGTACTACGAGCTGCGTCGGTGTGTACAAGAGAACAAGTCTTTGATCTATGCTCCTTTCATACAAACGTTGATTGAGACTATCTGTCCAACAAAGTACATTGCTAGCTTCAAGACTGTTGTTCCCAAGCGCAACTCCAACTAGACCCCAGTTGCTCCTGCTCCCTATGTGCCCATCAAGAAGGGGCGCAACCCTAGGCCTGAGGATCGTGCTACTTACACTCCAGGCATGTCCTCTACTGCACGGATCCCTCGTGGTAAGGCCAAGTCTGTTGGCTCTGAGGCCATCTTTGCCAAGGGAGAGAAGAAGTCGCTGTTCAAGACCTTGAGCAACATGTTCAAGATGTGTCAGTCGATGCAGCGTCGTCAGATCAAGGAAATCAACAAGGATAAGCTTGTTCGGCATGAGCAGAAGGCAGCAAGGGCTGCAGCTGGTGAGGAGGTCGGTCCAGGTTCTGAGGACGTCGACAGTGAGGCCACTGCTCGGTCTTTCCCAATGTCCGGGTGGCGTTTTGATGATGATGATGATGATGATGATGCCTCGAGTGCTCCTCCTCTTGTGTCTAGTGGGTCTCGTGTCGCCATTTTTCTCCTTTTTGTTGTCTTGATGACAAAGGGGGAGAAGTGGTGTGTGTGGTTGGTGTGTTCATGGGTGTGTTGAGATCTCAAGCCTCGTGTTTCTCGCTGTTGGTTGGTTTTAGTTGGCTTGAGATACTCTTATTTCCTTTTCGTCTGTGTGGTTGTGAGCCTCTAGTGTTATTGTGAGACTCTAGCTTTATTATTGAACCTTGCTATTATCCTCTTATGCTTATTGGGTCTCACATTATTTGCTCACCACACTGTGTCATGAGATCTAGGCACAGTTATAGGTTTATTTTGATAAATCTCATGACTTATCAATAATGATCTTGATCGAACCTCCTATGGGTGTACTAGATGCATTCTTGTTTTCGGGCACACATATAGGGGGAGCTATCAAGATCATTATTTCTTCGATGGCTTTCTATCTATTTATCCTCTTTGCCATGCTCTAACCACGTTGTCATCAATGCACCAAAAAGGGGGAGACTGAAAGTGCTAATGGCACTTAAGCTATATTTTGGTGTGATGACAATGTGGTTAGTTGAACTAATATCGGTTGCTAAAATTTATCTCAGGTTATTGGTTCTAAGTGCCCGCGATGGAGATGTGCGACCCCCCATTTCAAAAAGGACAAAGGCGTGGTCTTTCGACGCTTCGAAGGTTTAGTTTTGGTTTGCTTCGAGTCATAGAAAAGACCGCACTATTAAGAGGGGTCTGTGTGGATAAATGTTGTGTGGGAATGCCTTTGCCGAGCCTTACTCTCTTACCCTTCCCACTCCAATCACCTCATATGAACCTAGTGTGTGTGCTGTGGTACTCAGAAAGTTGCAACAGTAAGTTACTGGGTACCCCGTGTGCACGGGGTCTTTTGACCCCGTGCGCACGAGGTACTGGGTAACTCTCTGGATACCCCGTGCGCACGGGGTCTTTTGACCCCCGTGCGCACGAGGTACTGGGTAACTCTCTGGATACCCCGTGCGCACGGGGTACTGTGTAACTCTCTGGAGACCCTCGTGCGCACGGGGTGGTGCGATTGTCTCTGGATACCCCGTGCGCACGGGGCTGACTTAGCCCGTGCGCACGGGGTCCAACGGGCAGAAATCCCCGCCCTCACATGAACACTATAAAAAGGCATTTCTTCCTCCTCCAACCCGAACCCTAATGTCTTGTTGAGCTCCACCATTGCTACACCCCATTTTGCTCAATACTCTCAATCCCTCTACCCAAACTTGTTGAAATTTTGGCGATTGGGAGAGCAAGACCCGATCTACAACTTGACCAAACCAAATCGCGTTCCCCGCAACATTTCTTCCTCATTGACTTGTTACTCTTGGAGCTTGGGCTCCTAGGCGGTTAGAGGTTCCTCCGGAAGCTTCCTTGCTTGTGGTGTGCTCCGGAGAAGTTTGTAAAGGTGTGGTGGTCGCCTTCAAGACCAACCCCGAGTGGTTCGAGGCTCATCCGTTGGGGGTGACTCGAAGGAGAATACGGTGAGCCCTTGGTGGCATTCCGCAAGCTTTGGCTCCGGCACTGCTCCAAACGGAGATTAGCTCTTCCCCAAGGAAGAGTGAACTTCGGGTTAAAATTCGTGTCCTCGTCTCACTTGTGGTTAATCCTTTCCCGCACCTTTCTTAGTTGTTGTATGCTTGTTGGCTTGCTAAGTAGTTTGTTGCCTAGCTTTTCTTCTTGGAGCTTGCTTGTCATATAGGTTGCATTCATCTAGTTGCATATCTAGTGAACTCTTTTATCCGCTAAGCCTTAAAATCTATAAGAAAGATTAAAATTTGTAGTCTCCTATTCACCCCCCTCTATAGTTGACTGTATCGATCCTTTCATAGTGTGACAATTAATTAGCATGGCTAACTACCATGACAAAAAATGTGGATCTTACTCAAAACATATACACCACATGTATTTATAATGGACTATAATTTTTTAGTTCAAAATTTATTCATTTGTTGAGAATCAACTTGCTAGGAATAACTGCATGTATGTACTGTCCCTTTTTATTTCATCATATTGATTTTACGACATTGTGGATCACGAAGACACAATTATATAGGTTTAATTATTAATTAGTTTGTTAAAAAATCTAATTCTAGTACTCGGTATACTAATATATCTACCACCACAATATCCAATATTAACTATATTACTCCATATACAATTTGTATGACCACAAATACCTACATAACACCACTCCTAATACTCAGCATACAAATATATCTACCATAGCGGCGCGGAACATCGACACCCTGTACGGCCGAGGAAACACACTCCATCTCCACCTCCTACATTGGCAAGATCTAGCAGCACCAGCCGAGCCTCTATCACCAGCACACCAAGGCCGTCGGCATTGGAAGCATGAGCTGATCACACAACTCCAGGTGGACAGGACCTGCTCGACATTGAATGGGTCCAATTCCAGTTAGTATCGCTGCCAACAAATTCCCGCACCGCAGCATCCCGCCTGCCGCTCTAGTGACGCGCGCTTCACCAAAGGACCGCACAACAGCCAATGCCCGGCCGCCGCTCGCGCAATGTCATCTGGTCGAACACCGCTACCCCTCCGCACATCCCAACCGCGCCGCTTCCCACATCGGCGCCTTCTGGAGGACCATCATGCACCACCTATCTTCTTCTAACTCCCAATCATGCTCCACTGCTCTGTGCTCTCCCCGTCGTGCATCGCCACACTAGAGGACTCCCCACGCTGCCCACTTGACGCCACTCCCTCTGCCCGAGGGAGGCCCATCGGGCCGCGTTGAACCCACGCCCATCATCTTTGACGGGTCGGGCACCGCCACCGCCGTCGGTATCGTCGTCGGCGCCGCCCTGTGAGCACGGGAGGAGGGTCTTGAGCGGCTAGGGTTGCCCCTCCGACGCCGCTCACGCAAGTGGCTCGCGGTGGAGATGGGAACTTTTTATTTTCAATCGGTCAACCCGAATTAAAATTATGAATGTATTTTCACATTTCGAATCTGTATATTTTTATAGTGTATGACGTGGCATGTGAGACTGACGGGTGGGAGCCCACTTTGGTCTGGGTTGGGACGAACCAGATCAGAGATCAGACCACACCCACGCGAACCACTCCACCACCGGCCATCGCGCTTTTCCCATTCCCTCGCCGCCGCCGCCGCCCCCGCCAATCTCCTTCTCCGCGGCGCCGCCATGCTCCGGCTCAGGTGCTGCCTCCTCACCCAGCTCCTCTCGCCTCCCTCCGCATCTCCCGCCTCCCAGCTCCGCCGCCTCATATCCGCCGCCGCGCCCGCCATCTTCCCGAACCCTAGCTTCGATGTGGAGGGGTACCTCGTCTCCACCTGCGGCCTCACCCGAGCACAGGCCCTCAAGGCCTCGGCCAAGCTCTCCCACCTCAAGTCCCCTTCCAAGCCCGACGCCGTGCTCGCCTTCCTCGCCGGCCTCGGCCTCTCCGGCGCCGACGTCGCCGCCCTCGTCGCCAAGGACCCGCTGTTCCTCTGCGCCAGAGTGGAGAAAACCCTGGCCCCCGTCGTCGCTGGGCTCACCGGCCTCGGCCTGTCACGTTCTGACATCGCGCGCCTCGTCTCGCTCTCCCGTGACAAATTCCGATGTAGATCCATCGTCTCCTATCTACAATACCACCTGCACCTCTTCGTCTCCTTTGAGAACCTCCTCCCTGCTCTCAGGCGCGGCTTATGCCTTGTTTCGGCCGACCTCGAGACAGTGGTCAAGCCCAATGTTGCGTTCCTTAAAGAGTGCGGGCTAGGTGATTGCGACATTGCCAAGTTGTGTATCGGTCAACCATGGCTGCTCGCCTCAAGCTTAGAGTGCGTCCGGTCAGTGGCGGCACGCGCCGAAGGTATTGGTGTGCCCTGTGGCTCTGCGATGTTCAGGCACGCGTTGTGGGCTGTTGCACGCCTCAGCCAGGAGAAGATCGCCGCCAAAGTGGAGCACTTGAAGAAGATGCTCAGGTGGTCAGATGCTGAGGTGCGCATTGCTTTGTCCAAGTCTCCAGGGATGCTGAGTTTTTCTAGTGACAGGCTGCAGGGCATCTCAGAGTTCCTCATCTCCAAGGCAGGGCTGGAACCAGCATACATTGCTCATCGGCCCGCCATGCTCAATTATAGCCTGGAGGGCCGGATCAAACCCCGGCACTACGTTGTAAAGTATCTCAAGGAAAATGGATTTCTAGATCATGACCGGGACTATTATAATACGCTCTGTATCAGCGAAAAGGTATTCATGGAGAGGTTCATATGTCCTCACAAGGAAGCTGCACCCCACCTTGCTGAAGACTATGCCGATGCTTGTAGAGGGGAAGTGCCTTTCAGTTTCAGATTTACATAAACCAAGAACGGGCTATGAGTATTGGTAACTGTGTATGGCGCAACAGAGTTTACACTCTGTGCAGTGAGCTAGTAATTTCTGTTTCGGTGTTCTTTGCCTAATTGGATCTTGGTTGTCTCCTCTATTATGTCTGGTACATGTCAATTTAGTGTCGCTATTTCCATATGAAACTGATAATTTGATTGTGACTTCTTTGTATGTCCATCACACCATTCCAGTAGAGAAGGAAGCATCGCACTACGGTTAACATGTCCATCCTCATATCATATTGACACACGTAATAGAAGCAAGAGTGTGTGAGATCAGGGTATTTCTACAAATGGTTTCAAATATCAGTGATAGAGTATGTCTGGATACTCTATCGTTATGTTCTCAACGACCATTGCAGTTTTCAGTGCAATCCTTAACTACCTTTCCATGAAAAATGTTCTCATTTTGGTCATTATTAATTGAAGTCTCAAAATTTCCCTTTGGACGGCGGAAACAATTGTGGAATTGTTGATGGCCACAATGTGTAGATCACTGCCGAGGATGCAGTTTTGAACTAGTTTGTTGGTTCCTTCCTCTTAGTTCTTCTAAGATGATAGTCTTCGTTTTCCTGCAGTTGCTCTGTTTATAAGATATTGACTGTACAAGAAAGCATGTCATTGTTTACTAGTAGTAGTTTGTACCAGCTTTTTTTCCCCCCGCTCTATGTTTTTGGATGGCCTATTGGCTTATACTTTTTCTAGGGACATCTGATCTCAAAATTGAATAATGTTGTTCGCGTTCTGAAAATACTTGGCAGTTTTACGGCTACTTCAGAATTTTTATCACCTTTCGAAAGCCTTATAAGTATTACTTAAGCTTTATCAAGCACAAGAAGATAGGCCATGTTGTTTCCTTTACAATATTAATTATAATGTTAGATGTATTATATATCTGGATGACTGTTAGGACTGTAGTTCGAGAGCCACTGGGTCCATTTTATGCCACACAAGTAAAACCCAGTGTATCCACACACACAGTGTAAACATGAACTCTTGGAGTTATCAGGTTGTCGTTGCAGTTAACACTAGTTATTTTTCCCTCTTTATTTGCTTCAAGGACTACTGATGGTAGTGCACTTATTTACTTCCTGGTCCTCTTGTTGGTGGAAGTACTGCATCAAAGAATGTAAACAAATGGCTCGATGAGATGATTACATGGTATGAATCTTCCACCAGTATTCCGAGAGGTGGTCCTTGCAAGTTGCTTATCTCCTTGTTGAAGATACTGTGTCAGCAAAATGGGAAACTAAACAGGAGGTACTTTGTTTCATGCTTTATGTTGTTGTAGTCATAGTTGTAGTTATATTACCGTTCAATTGTGTGCCTTCTCCCCTTTGCTATAATTATTCGTTTGAAATTTTCATCAGAAGGAAGATGGCCATAATGCTTGTTCTACTTTAATCCACCCTTGTGTTGTGATGATGTCATATAGTGCAAGCAAACTAATACTTTTGATACGATTACCATTTCTGAATGGTTATGACGGACGCATTAGACTTGTTTTTCTTAATAATTATTATGTTTGGTATTATTGCCTGGACATATATCATAGGTTCTGATTCTACATTTCCCCTCCGTTGATCTGTACTGGTTTCTGAACTGAACTATTACCTGCAATTACCGGCTACTGGTTTCAACCTGTTTCAGGTCCTCATTTAGGCTACAGTTTAAAATGGTTCCTTTCAAGGATTCAGAAGATTACCGAGTTGGCTTATACCCAGTGCCAGTAGTATCTCAAATTATAGACTAGTAGTTGAATGTCTAACTCGTCTTCTGGCAATATGAGACGGTGGAACCTTGCAAAACTTACTTTTTCTTCTTTCGTTGAGTAACATAAATTAGACCTGCCATTTTCGTAGCACCATTTATGGGATGATTTTGACTATTTCGGTAACCTTTGCACATCTAACTCTCGTTTGAATTCTTGGTAATAGGATACTGACGGTCCAGAAATGGCAGTAGCTAAGCTGTTTTCATCTTGTAGGAGAAGTGGCGCTCATATTGGGGGGATTTTGAATCCAATGTTCGTTTCGGGGAAAATATCCCCTCTTGAAGTCAGATGCAGGTTCTTCTTATATTCTGTGTCATTGCCATAGTTAACCAAGTGCCCCCCACCCCCGGTACTGCTTGTGGGTTTTACACTGTCTGAAATGTAGATAAAGATGTATCTCATGGTCATGGGGTAGCAGTAGCATGCTGGTTTATCATCTCGATAAGCTATAGAGCAAGCGGTCCATGGGTATGTATATTTGTTCAGTGTGCTTACTCAAAAGTTTTCAGTTTGCTGAACGTGTATGTCGCTTCCTTTCTACTCCCTCTGTAAACAAATATAAGAGTGTTTGGAACGCTATTTTAGTGATCTAAACGCTGTTATATTTCTTTACGGAGGGAGTACTAGGAGAAGATGATCTGAAACTGGATGCAGACGCATGACGCCTAAAACGAGGCAGAGGATCAGCTTCAGTCCAGGGCACACTGCAGGCGCATATTGCAGTCAGCCGGCTAGACTCCCAAAGTTTTTGATTATGATTTGCTTGCGGATTATTGAGAGCTACGTGCGACGAGATTGCGGTTGTTTAGAAAAGAGCAGTTTGATTAATTAGCGAATGTTGATCTGAGAAGATGGCACCCAATATATGTTCAGTTAATTTATTTTAGATGGGAGTGTGTTGGCCGTTGGATGAACAAATTCTTGCGTGGTCTGACGGGCTCCACCTTTCTGTTGCCCCCATGATGCTGTAAAACTTGCCGCTGCCTGGTGCTGTAAAACTCTCTTATTTTACTCAGTGCAATTGGGTACATTTCATCAGAAAACAGAGGTCGGTGATGGAAGCTTGATCTTTGTTGCTTATCGACACCTCTTCTTCTGCAACGATGCCCTCGAAGTGGAACTACATGCAATTAGGGAGGGTCTAGCGCTAGCTTTGGAGTGATCAAACCTTCGTGTGGTAATCCAATCTGACTCTTTGACGACACTTTCTTCATTGTTCTCAGGTATTCTTGATCGATCGGCTTATGGCCATTTAGTCACGGAGATTAAGCACCTCTTAGTTGGTAGAGAGTTTTTCCTATGGAAATTTCTAGAGATCAAAACAGAGTAGCAAATCGCCTCGCGAACGAGTAGAGTGTAGCATGGCTTGTTGGCTACAAAATTGCCCACCTTATATTGCTGAGCTTTTGCCAGCTGATTGTAATTCTGCATCTATCTAAGGAATAAAACTCTTTTTACCCTCGCAAAAAAAATGAAACCAAAACTCCTTTCCTGATCCCGAGCTCAAATGCTCATTGATGAACAGGAAAACATAAAATAATAGCAAAAAGATCTACCACAAATTTTTTTTTGTAAACTTTGATAGATGTTTTGTATGCTTGACAAATTTCAGCATGAAATAACTTTCGTGGAAGTGATGGCAAAAAAATCAACACCAAAATGTTTTCAAAAAAAAATTTGAGCATGAAATATGTTTTTGCCACGACTACCACGAATGTCATTTCGTGATGAAATCTATCAAGCATACAAAACATTTGTCAAAATTTACCACACAAAAACCATTTTTTTAATCTTACTGTTCATAAGGGAGCATTCAAACTAGAGAGCAGACACTCCGTGTACAACAATGGAACAACTGTCTACTCTACTACTCTAGGCATAGCACAACACAATCCCCTCCTTTTACATCCAAAAAAATAAAACAGGCCCAACCTACCTAGCCTAGCTTAATGTGACACTGCCAATGGGCTACACCTGGCATCAAGTTTTTTTAAGGGGGTACCTGGCATCAAGTATTAACCTGTAAAAAGAAAATGCGCAAATCCTAAATGGCGCTCAGAGCGCCCGTTAACAGGGCACGCAAACGCGCGAACCACCCCAGCCGCTCCTTTTGTGATAACGTACAGCTTCTTATCTCTTTTATTCTTTCCTTTTCTTTTAGTTTTCCTTTTTTGGTTTTCTTTCTTCTTTTTGTTTTTTGTTTTTGTAATTTGATGCAAAAACTTCATCAGATTTTATGAACGTTTTTAAATTTGATGATTTTTTTTCAAAATTGATGAACGTTTTTCTAATTGGATGAACATATTCCCAAATCGGTGAACTTTTTTCAAATTCGATGATTGTTTTTTCCAAATTTGATGAACTATTTTTAAGTCGATGAACTTTTTTCAAAACCTGTGCATTTGTTTTTCAAATTTGATGATTTAAAAAAACCATGAACTTTTTTTGAAGTTTATGAACTTTTTTCAAAACCAACGATCATTTTTCAAAATCGGTGAATTTTTTGTCAAATTTGATGCACTTTTTATAAATCGATGAATCATTTTTGAAGTTTGTGAACTTTTCTTTCAGAATTCGTGAACATTTTTAATTTATGTATTTTTTTATTTTTTTCAAAAGTCAATGGTTGACCGATCAACCGCGATGGAGCAAACGAGGTGACGCGTGGGAGGAGCATACGAGGTGATTTTTTTATCTCTACTACTACCTTCGTCTCGGTGAATAAATCATTCGCGTAGTTTTAGGTTGATGATTTAACTATTTAAATATGTATTATATGTGACAAAAAATATATATTTAGAAACTACATCCGTGTAGAAATCTAGTGATATACTTTTCATGACATATAACACATATTTAATTCCTCAAATTGATGACCTAGAACTACGCAAATGACTTATTCACCTAGACGGAGGTAGTACTATTAAACAAACAAACATATTCTTCCCTAAACGCACATGGAAACACGTACACAAAACAACCAGGATAAAATACCACCTCACGATCAGATCCATCTAATTAGATCTAACCGTTAATATAAAAATTAACTCTCATCTGTGTACGTTTAGCAATTAACAGAAGCGCACGATACTCTGCCATCGAGCAAGGGGACGAAACGTTCCGCTGCGTGAGGAAAAAAACTAATTCGCATGATTAAAGGCTTGCATGCAGCAGCATGGCCCAATTTCATTGGTTCTGCC